AGATACATAAATGGTTCATTTCAAGAGTGAAATAAGTGTTTTCCACAGGATTCTGGAAGTGCACAAGTGTTAGACTCAGCTGGATTATACAACACTTGAAGTGGGTCTTGAATAACGTGCAGAAGTTATCTAAGGAAGGAAGGATCTGGGCAGGGGTAGGATGTGTTCCTGACTGCCTTCTAAGAAAGGTGGCTCTTGCTAACTCTAGAGATTTTATTTTGCTGAATAGCATTTGCAAGCTCAGGGCCAGAGCTGAATTGTTCCAGACAATAGACGTTCAGCCAAGTACTGTCTCTGGATACCTCCCTTTCTTCCATCCAACAGTCAATCCCTCCTCCAGATATTAGAGGGAAAGTTGTCAAACAAATGTTGACAGACCATCTGTTGGAAGATCTGATAGTCTTGGGTGTCCACCTGTTGTGTACACCCTGAAAGCAGCAGTATATAGAATAATCAAATAGAAACATTAGCAAGAAGGAATGACGGCAAAGACAAGGTAGGGTTCGAAGTGAACCACTCTTCTGTGGGTCAGAAAACAGTATGGGGAAAATGCAAGTATGAGGGAAAAATATATCCCTATCTCGAAGAATTTCCAGGAACCCTGGGGCAGAACTGCACACTCTTGTACACCCAAAGAGAGGAGGGGAATTTGTCTTCTAATAATGATGTTTCATGAGGATTCAAGAGTCCAGAACTGTTTCTTAAAGCCATATGGACTAGGGAAGCAAGGCTTATATTTTTAACCATGGGATCTAGAACTGCTTAAAACCTTATAAAGACATATATGTTAAGAACCTAGGACTGCCTGTCTTGAGAAAGAATGGGCTGTTTGAAGTGGGGTAGAGATAAAGAATGTCCATGACCAAAAGTCCTCCACTTTTACTCCTATTAAATCTTTAAACACTTTGTCCAGGCACTTCTTCCTCTAGGACAGCTTCAAGAATGTGTGTAGAAACATGATCTTCCCAAAGGTGAAAAAACAGAACCTTTATTGAAAGATTTTTAATACTTCCCTGGTGGAAAAGAATTCAAAATTCCATAGGAGCAAAAGCAAAGTCCCAGTTAACCTCAGTGGCAGGACAGCACAACAGGCAGGGGAGGCCCAACCTCCCTCTCTGGAGGCAGGATTCCCTCACGCACAGGTGAAGGACACAGCATTTGCCCCAGACATAAACTCAAGGGGACAACAGTGTCCACAGGTGAGGTCTGTCTAAATTTATGATATCACGGAAACAAAGGAGGTTGTTTCAGCAACAGCAAACTATAGTCTAAAGCTGACTGCCCTCATTCCAGAAGGCCATCAATTAGGGACTAATAAGAAAATGTACCCAAGCTTAGGGTAAAGGCAAACAGTTAACTGCATGTCCTTTGAATGTCATAGTAGAACACTGTCTAACAGAACCACCAAGGACTATTAAATACTCTTGGGCAGAGGTGGGCAAACTATGACCCATGGGCCGGAAACTTGTTTTTGTAAATAAAATTTTATTGGAACACAGTCACACACGTGTTACAAATTTTCTACAGCTGCTTTCCTGTGACAACAGGAGAGTTGAGTAGCTACAAAACAGACTGAATGGCCTGCAAACCTAAAATATTTACTATCTAGCTCTTTAAGTAAAGTTTGCCAATCCCTGCTCTAGGGGGATGTACTTTTTCTTGATTTAGTATTTGCTATTGATTAGGGGCCAGATTCTGTAAAGCAATATATTGACATGTAGAAGGTTAATATGTTGCAGATGGATTTCTGGTCAGTAGAAAAGATAACCCAAAGGGTTACAGTTAGTCTTAATTCATTTGGGCTGCTGTAACAAAAATACCATAAACTGAATGGCTTATAAACAACACACAGTTTATTTCTCACAGCTATAGAGGCTGAGAAGTCCAAGATTCAGTGTCTGGTGAAGGTCTGTTACTTCATGGCCATCTTTTCCCTGCAGCCTCACATGGTGAAAGGGAGGAATCTCTTGATTCTCTTTTATAAGGGCACTAATCCCATTCATGTGGGCTCCGTACGAACTAATCACCTCCTAAAGGCCCCATCTCCTAATATCATCACTTTGGGGGTTAGGACTTATATATGAGTGGGGAGACACAAACATTCAAATCATAGCACAGTTTAATTTCCCTGTAGGATATTAACCAGTTTTATATATAACTTAGCAATATTACTCCAATATTGTTTCTTCAGTACCTATAAATACTCAATCTCTTTAACTTTTTAAATAAACTTTTTATTTTAGAACAGTTGTAGGTTTACATAACTATTGCAAAGATAGTACAGAAATCCTCCTATACCCCATCCCCAGTTACCCTATTATTAATGTCTTCCATTAGTACAGCACATTTGTCACAATTAATGCCCAATATTGATATATTATTAAAGTTCATACTTCATTCAGATTTCTTCAGTTTTTCCTTAATATCTTTTTTATTTGTTGTGTTCCAAGGTCCCATTCAGGATATTACATTACATTTAGTCGTCATATCTCCATAGGCTCCTCTTGGTTTTAACAGTTTATTCAACATTCCTTATTTTTTATAATCTTGACAGTTTTGAAGAAAACTGGTCAGGTATTTTGTAGTTATCACTCAGATATGATTTGTCTGTTGTTTTTCTCATGATAGACTGGGATTATGGGTTTAGGATGGAGGAAAACCATCGAGATGAACTGTCATTTTCACCATATCATTTCAAGGGTACACACTATCAATATGACCTATCACTGTTGATGTTAACTTGATCACCTGGCTTGAGGTAGTATTTGTTTCTACACTGTAAAATTTCTCTTCCCTCCCACCCCTTCTATCTGTACTCTTTGGAAGATAGTCTCTTTGTACAACCTGTGCTTAAGGAGTGAGGTGAATATATGAGTACTCTCTGTACTTTCTGCTCAATTTTTCCTTGAACTTAAAACCTCTAAAAAAAATAGTCTATTTTTGAGTTAACCTATAGAATGAGACAAAATGTCTGCAAATCACATATCTGATAAGAGATTTGTTTCCAGAATATTTAAAGAACTCTTAATAATAATAATAATAAACCAATTGAGAAATGGGCAAAATATTTGAATAGACATTTTTCTGAAGAAGAGCTACAAATGCCAATAAGTGTGTGCAATGACGCTCATCATCATTAATCATTACATAAAAGTAAATCAAAGCTGCAGTGAGACACTACTTCACATCCACTAGGATGGCTATACTGAAAAAGACAGAGACTAACAAGTGTTTATGAAAATGCAGAGAAATTGGAACCTTCATACGTTGCTCTGAGAATGTAAAATGGTACAGCTGTTTTGGAAAATAGTTTGGCAGCTCTTCAAATGTTAAACACAAAATTACCATATGACCTAGAAATTCCACACCTGGGTATGTACCCAATATAATTGAAAACAGGTGTTCAAACAAAATCTGGTCCGCTAAAGTTCAGAAGTACTATTCACAGTGGCTAAAGGTGGGAACAACCCAAATGCCCATCAGCTGAAGAACGGAAAAACAAAATGCGGTATATACACACCATGGAAAATTATTCGGCACTAAGAAGAAATGAAATATTAATACATACTATATGGATGAGCCTTGAAAATATTATACTAAGTGAAAGTAGCCATAATCAATGACTACAGATGTGTATTGTATGATTCCATTCATATGAAATATCCCAAATTGGTAAATCCATAGAAATGAAAGGTTAGGGTTGTAAGGGGCTGGCTGGAGGGGAGGAGGGGGAATGACTGCAAATGTGTACGGAGTTTCTTTGTATGGAGATGAAAATTTCTGAAATTAAATAGTGTTAAAGGTTGCACAACTCTGCATGTACTAAATACCACTGAATTCTATGCTTTAAAAGAGTGAACCTTTCGGTATATGAATTATGTCTTTATAGAGCTGTTATAAATATAGCTCTGGTTTGGCAAAAACTCAATAGCTTGAGAGTAGTAATAGTTTATTAAACTATCCCAGAGATTCCAGGGAATTATAAGCATACTTACCATTTCTAAGACTATGTATAATTGAGTTAAATAAATCAGGTAAATGCTTGATTTGTGTTTAAAATAACTTGAAAGTCTACAACCTAATTCCCTAACTACTCCACAAAGATTATTATTTGATTTGTTGTTTGGCAAAGGTTACAATATTTTCCTTATGGATGTGGTTCTTTAGACAGGTCCTATAGAAATGAGTGTGTGCAGAAAAATCAAATTCAGGTTTATTCCCTAACGTCCTATAGAAAATTTAAATGGCCAGCTTTCAGAATAGCTCATTCAAAAACCCTTTAATCTTCACCAAGTAAAGCCATAAAACAGTCAAATTAACTGAAAACTTTCTCCCCACTGGATGTTTTATTCAAGAACACAGTTTAAAGCCTGATCAGCCATGTCTATGAGCTGGTCACCATATCAACTGCCTTTAAGAAATCCCAGTTGGAAAGTGTATCCACAGTTTGCATCTACTCACCCCATTGTCTCACATCTGGTTGCTAGGATACCACTTTTTGGTGATGTCAACCTATTGAAATATTAAAATTTTATTTCTAATCAAATTTGTATTCTACGTGGCCTTAGGAAAAGAAGCAAGCAAGGTCCGTGCACACATCAAATAGCTTCCAGGATGACTTTAAATCTCTGTCATAATTCTAAACAAATTTTTAATTTAAAAATTGAAAAACCTGACTCTGTCATTAAAATGTCAAGGTTTAGCTTTGTGTATTAATTTGTCCATATGTGGAAGGTCGTATCACTGACACCTTTCCTTCCTTCTAAAATGACTGACTCATTTTGTCTCTCAAAGTCAAAACCTCCAGGGTACAGACAAAGTCTTCCTTCTGAAAGGATACATTTTCTCCTTCTTTCTTAGGGCCCAGGGTCAAAACTAAAAGCTGAAACAATTTCTTTTCCTGAGTCCTAAAAGTGACAGCTATTAGAAAGTTTAAATACTGGTATTATTTAATTTTGTCCCAGAATTTAATTCAGTAATGTGTATTGAACACTTCTTAGGCATGAGTCAATGTACTAACCAATGTGGAGGCTATAAAGATGAATGTGCAACCGTCACTATCTTCAAGATGGTCATTGATGAGACAAATAAAGAGTTAACGGGAGTGGGCTTGTGAGCTGGCAGGATGGGACAAGCAAAGAGTTAACAGAGTGAGCTTGTGGGTTAATAGGAAGGAGATTAAACATTAACCGCTTTGCTCTGAATCCCGGCTAGCACTGTTCCTGCAGGCTGACAAGCACCTTACACCCATCATAGGTGAGAACAGAGCAGTTCTCAATCACAACGGCAACCCCCTGCAAGCTGACATCCATCATAGATGGGAACGGGACAGTTCCCAGGAGAAGACAATTGTAACGGCAGCCCTCCTGCAAGCTGGCAAGCACCCTACATCCTGCTTGGAAAAATATAAACCCCAGCACTCCTTCTCATCGGTGCAGCTGTCCCCCACAGGACTCTGCCCTGGCCCAACTCCTGCCAGTATCTCTCTCTTACTCCTCTGTCTCCACAGCTCTCCCTCTCAGACTGCTCTGGCTAAACTTCTGCCAGTTTCAAACAGAACTGTCTCCCTTTTAACTTTCAATGAATCTTTTCTCTGGATTCTCTTGTAGAGTCTTGTAAATGCTTTTACATTCTGCGAACGACCAAGGGTTAATTCAACACCAAGACAGTCATAACCTCGTGAAGAAACGGAGATATGCGTAATGTCCAGCGTCAGTGTCCAGGGGTACTCCAATTCATTCCAGGACCAGCAGGTAGAGATCCAGCACCAGCTCTGGGGTCTGCAGAAACACAGGTCTGGAGCCTGCATTGGTTGGGTGTGAACCAAAGGGACAATTAAGATATGCAGCATTGTCAGGGTACCAGAGCAGCACCAGAGTAACAGCTTAAAGCGGCTTACCACAGAAGGGAAGCTGATGTGTAACAGAATTCATAGGTCAGGGCTCAGCTGGGCATTCCTAGGTGGTGCCTATGGCCTCTCCCTCAGACACTGAGAGGGGGCTGATAAAAGAGGACATGACCCAACTCTGACCTGGTGTAGGTTGGTTAATACCATGGGGCCAGACAAATCTATCTGATGGGAGAATGGATGATGTTCAAGAAGGCTTTGCAAGCAGCATGACAGTTCAGCTGGGCCCTAAAGGATTGGTAGGATTTCACAAAGCAGAAGTACACAAGGACTGGGCATACAAAGTACAAAGGAGAGGAAAACAAAATATGAAGGCTGGAGGATGCTGCTGTGTTAAGGCAATAGCTGGTAATGGTGGACCAGGAGTGGGGAATGTATTCAGTTGTGGGGCGAGGAGACAGTGGCATGGGAGATAAAACTGGGATCTTGGGCCACATTAAGAAAAACCTTGAAATGCCATGCTAGGTCACTTGAACTTTATTTTGTATGTGCAGTGAGGATCCATCCAGGGTTGTTGAGTAATGCAATGTTGTAAAATATTACTTTTCAGTAATAAGCTGACTTATCAACTTATCAACTCAGTAACATTCTTAAATGATTTGCATTTAGACTTGTCCTAGTTACTTTTCATGTGCTCCCTCCATCCACTCTTCACCTTCTCTCTCCTGTGCTATGCCCCAGGAAGCTGACTCCACTGGGCTTCCTTACTCTCTGTCTTCCAGTAGGGCGTGGCCAATGGAAGGCACCAGCAGGATATTGGAGGTCAGGAGGCGAGAGAGGTAGCTGTGTGTTTGGTCAAGGACTGTGTTTCCCCACCAAGACCTCAGCTCTTGTGAAGTGTCTCCTTTCTACAGCTATAGCTCTTGCCAAGTTTCCTTCTCCTGCCCCTTCAGGTCTAAAGGTGGTGGTGGCCTCCCACTGTTGCTAGTCACTGGATGCCTCTCTGTCCCTGATGCTCCCTTTTATCCTGCTGTATGGGGTGGGGGTTCCCTAAGACCTCCCCCAGGTTAGGTCACTCACTATAAGAACACATGTGGCTCAACATAGTAGTCATACTCATGGCTAAGATTTATTCCAGCAAAAGTATACAAGGCAAAATCAACAAAGGCAAAAGGCCCATGGAGTGGCGTCTGAAAGAAGCCAGGTACAAGCTCTAAGGGTGCTCTCCCAGTCTGGTTACACAAGACATGCTTAATTCTTCCCACAAGGAGTTGTGACAGCACCTGTGGAATCTGGTCTACCAGAGACACTCATTAGAAACTGAGCGCCCAAGGTTTTTAATTGGGGGCTGGTCACGTAAACACCCCCTGACTGGCACTTACCAAAATCCCAGACTCTTAGAAGGAAAGTGGGTGTTCAACATAAGCCATATTATTTGCATAAAGAGTGTAGGCACAGTGAGCCATTCTGATCAGGGAATACTGGGAACCCTTCCCAAATCCAAGGTCTTGGATGTCAGCCAAGGGACAAAGTTTGCCACTTTCTAAGGAGAGCAGTTTACTATGCTAACTTTTTTTCTGCATACCTGCCCACATTTCTGCAAATAATTTCTTCATTGGAGACTTTTTTATTCAGACCCTTTCAAATGGACTGTTTCCTTCTGGGACCTGAACAAATACAAGACAGTATCTATATCTATTTATCTGTGTGTTTTCATACACACAGATAAATTGATGGGTAGGCACTTCTACAAACCCGCTTCCTTTCTTTTCAGGTTTACTTCAGAATTTCCCAGGTCTGAGACTCACCAGGGCCTGGGAATCCAAAGCTCCCCCAGGCTCTGTGCCACACACAGCCTTCACTAAGTCCTCTCCATTTCCTACGCACATGATGGAGTTTCTCTCTCCATTTGTCCTCTGGGTCTCTTCTGGGGGTGGATTCTGTTCCTGACTTCCAGGCTGTTCATCTAAGGAACTGAAACACTTCCCACCACTAACCATCTCTCCTTCTGGAGCTGGGCCTTGCACAAACGCCCCAGAAGGCAAGGAACCCCAGTGTCCCACCCCCAAACTGACTATGAGCTTGGCCCCTTTTAGAATCTCCTGCCCTTGACACTGTCCCTGCCTAAATGGATCTTGCATTTTCAAAGCCCCAGTAGCTGCACAGTTAATTGAACTTTTTAAGGCATTTTGATCCCACATCATGATACCCACCCTTCAGCTGGGATAATCCTTTTATAATTCATCCACTAGTGTCTGACTATTTTTACCCCCTTTCTTCAGGACCAAGCCACTCCAGCTTCCTTTCCTGCTACTGTGAATATTTTGGCTATCTAGTGTTAAATTTAGTAGCTTAAAACAGCAGCCATTTTATTATATACCTCATGCTTTTATAGGTCAGGGATTTGGGAAGAGCTTGGCTGGACAAGTCTTTTCTCCATGTGGTAGCAACTGGGGCCACTCAGTAATAGTGGTCAGTGAGCAGCTGGACTGGGTTGGAGCATCCAAGGCCACTGGAAGGCTGGCACAGTGGGTCCCCTCTTCACTTCCCTGTCGTCTCTGGGCCTCCCCAGATAGTTTTTCCAGCAGGTTAGTCACATTTCTTACATTATAGCCAAGGGCTCCAAGATACCACAATAGAAGCAGCCAGATCTTTCAAAGGCTAGGACTGGAACTGTCACAGTATCACTCCTGCCATATTCTATTGCTCAATGCAATCACAGGCCAGCCTGGACTCGAGGAGAAGGGAAAGAGTCCCTACCTCTCACCAGGAGGAGTGTCAAAGAATTAATGGCCAAATTTATGGAGGTTTTTGCGTGTCTCAGCCACGTACATTCAGGTTATGACCAAGAGATTCCTTAAACAAACCACCCTAAACCACATCTTGTTATTCCCAATGGGAGAATCATCAGTTAGAAGCGGACACCGAAAATCCCAGCTGCAAAAACAACATTGGCACCAAGCTAGGGTATCTATAAGCCTTGCTCTTCCATTTCCCTCCTCTTCCCAACATCACTGTGCACAGAAAGGTCTCAGACTAAAGAATCACTTCCCTTGTGGGCATGAAGTCTAAGTCCCTCACACCAGGAGGATTATAAATCACTAACCTGAGATTGGGTCTTTCAACAGAACTGGAGCTAAAAATCCTTTGGCAGTGCCTCTTTCTCACCTTGTCTGTTTTTTTTTCAGAGGAGCATCTGTCAAGAGAGTGAGATGTCCTTCTGTGCTTATGGTTTGTTTACCTCCTGGTTCAGGCCAGGCCAGCGCACCCCAGGTTTGGGTGACTGTGATCCTCCTGAAGTCAACTCCAAGAGGCCGTGTGCAGGCCTCGTGCCCAGGTTGAAATGAACGAAATCACCATCTAGTGTCCAAGAGACCCTCCTGCACTTTCTAGAGAAGATAGTGTTGGTGAGGTTCCATTATTTGGCTACTCAAGAAGTCACACATGCTGCCTGTGTAAAATTGCCCTTACTGAAGAGGGCAGGAGCCCCAGGGAGGTCCGGGATGGCCATTTTGTGTGCCATTGCTTGAGCCAAGAAAAGCTCAAACTTCAGCATGCAAGATCTGTTCCTAACAAGTAACAGTGACTGCCTGGACCAATCTAATTATTTTTCTTAGGAATTTGAACTTGAGGAATGGAAAGGGGTACAGAAGCAGAAAGACACACAAAGAGAAGGCAGTATTGAAGGTCATGAAGCAGCAGAGGTCATGAGTTGACAGAAGACATGAGTAACTAAGCCATAGAGGACTCAGAAGGTATTAGAAGGCAGAGCCATTGAAGAAGGAAGAGGAGGAGAAGGGGGGAAGGAGAAAAAGAAGAAAGAATTAAAAAAAATGCCTTGAGTAAGCAGAAGCTACATATATTATATTAGAGAGGAAGGTGGTTGGTTGGGATTGGTTGGAGGGTAAATGACAGAGTCAAAGAGTTGAGTCCCTATAATTGCAGAGCATTTCAGTGGGAATTGACAACTGCAGATGCTAAGGGGGCATCCAAGTGACTCAACCTCTAGGCCTATACTGGACCTCAGACAACCTCCTAGTTGAAAAACCCTGTTCCCTCTTCTCCTTATGAGGCCTGATTCAGCAACTATTTCTGGGTTTTCATGGGGTCTGGCCATGGGACTGACAATCCAATCTTACTTATTCCTAAGAGTATTCTCACAATAAATCTATTATTTGAAGTGAATTGAATAACTGCCTATTTCTTGCTACCAAAAAATATTAACACAATGGTTGTAATGAAAAATCACAAGCATATTCTTTATAGACCAAATATAAGATGAAAAAAACATCGGTGCTCTTAAAAGTTTGGTTTGTCATTATAGGGCTCCATGACATTGTGATAATACAGATTTAAGACAAT